ATAATATCATTATCGATTGATGTAGATTGATGCTTTTCCCCACTATAAAAATTGAAAATATACATAATATTAGTAAAAAAATAAAAATAAAAAAAAGATTAAACTTAAGTATGAATAAGAAGTTTGAAAATATACCCAAAGCATGTTTGTCTATTTGAAATTTCGTTCTCAGTATCATAAATGTATAACTGAGAGAATTTTGATTGCGATCCATTTGGTGGTAAAAGGCTTCCAATAGTATGATAATTTTGACCACCAAGTCTGAAAATATATGGAGCATTTCCTCTATTGATTGAATAATCAATTTTACCACCCATTGACGTAAAAGAAAACATTGAATTGTAACGTCGAATGTTTTTCATGAAGTTTTTGCTTTTAGAATCCGTTGCTCTGAACATTCTTTCATAAGTTGGTGGTGCGTTCTTTAAATCTGGTAGTTGAACCTTGCCATAACCACAACATAATGAATAATTTGTGTTCCTTTTTTTTTCCTCTTATGGATTCATTTGTCCATAATTTTGCATGACATGTTTGACATACAACAATTTGATCACCATGATCCAAATATTCTGTAAGAAAATAAAGTTGTTTTAGTAAAATATTTAATTTTATAAGTATATACAATATGATATTTCAGGTGTAAGATAAAAAATGGGTATATATATGTATTACCTTTGGAAATACCTACTATTAGGTTTTCATTATTGACTTCATGTACATCTTCTAGATCTGTTGTCAAGTCAATCAATGGAATAGGAGATAAATGTTCCAACTTCCTTTTTAATTTATGACATCCTGGATTTAACTTGATTGATGATGAAGAAGCAGTTATTGTAGATGCATTTCTTGAAGTCATGCCATTACGAAGTCCAGAGTAATGTATTTTATTTTGTAACGTTGAAGTAACATAGTTATTGAAACTAATATTAGCTGGAAAAAAGTAGTAAATATATATAAATATATTAGAAAGTGGTTAAAAGTAAATTTCAAAAACAAATATTATTACCGTTTGAAATGTTAGATAATGGAGTTCTAACATTTATACATGAAGGAGAAGATTGTAGGGGTGTACTTTGGTTTCCACGTGATCTATAGAAAAAGACATTTTCATTTTGTTGAACAACGTTTTTTGATTGATCTGTAAAAAACAACATGTTATAAAAATTGAAGACATATATTATAAATTAAAAATTACAATTTCAAATTTTATATTACTACAGGGGAATAATATAAAATGATGAGAATGTATGTATTTTTTATATAGGTTAATGAAGTGTAAAAATTAAAAAAAAAAAAAAATTACAGTTATCCGTGTTTTTCAAGACATGTGGTGTAGACGGATTTTGAACAGTGTATTTTGTATTCCTTTTCTTCGATCTCTTATTATCCAAATATAATTTTCTATGTCTTCTGTTCTCTCTTGCTTGCAAGTAGTACATATTATTGTTTGTTCCTGCATAAAGAATAAAAGTTATCACCATGATCCAAATATTCTGTAAAATAAAAGCGTTGAATAAAATATCAATGAATTTTATAATTATATAGAACATAGTATCTGAAATGTAAAATGGATTTTATTTTTTCATTACCATTTGAGATACCAACTATACGATTTTCATTGTTCACTTGATGTATATTTTCTACATCTTCTATCAAATCAATCAATGGGATAGGGGATAAATGTCTTGTCTTCGTTTTTAATTTATGACATCCTGGATTTAACTTGATTGATGATGAAAAAGTTGTTACTGTAGATGCATTTTTTGATGTCATATCATTTGAAAGTACATGGTACTGTCTTTTCTTTGCTAACTTGGAAGTGATATATTTATCGAAACCAGTGTTATCTGAATAAAATAAAAATAAAATAGTTAACTAAATAAATAAATATTTACATAATGGATAATAGTATATTTTAAAAACCAAAAATAATTACCATTCGTAATGTTAGATAACGGATTTATAACATTTTTAATGTTAGAAAATGGAGTTCTAACATCTGTAAAGGAAGGACAGTATTGTATGGTTGTGTTATGCTTTGCAGGTGTTGTAAATGAATTGACATTTTGAGTTTGACGAACAATGTTGGTTGATTGATCTGCAAATAGAAATAACTTATAAAACTTGTAAATATATGTATTCAACTATATAATAGTAAAAGATGGAATATAAAATACTAATACGGTTATAGTTAATGGTTTTTTTGAAGAGATGCTGTAATGATATACTTGGAACGTTTGGCATTGTTTTTATTTTCTTCGATCTTTTATTTTCCAAATATATTTTTCTTTGTCTTCTTTTCTCTTTGGCCTGCATGTGGTACATGTTACTGTTGTTTTCTGCATAAGAAGACATAGGTTAGGAAATGAAATGTGAAATTATGTACATAATATGTTTATATAATACAATTGAAGTTAGTTAGAATTAAATAAATAATGATAATAAAGTAAATGTATTTAAAAAGTTACCTTTATTAATTTGTTTATTAAAATGTTAGCATCATGACTCATCATCCTCATTTCCAACCTAGGGTTTATTAGATTTAAATCTACTGTTTCCCCAATTTCAACCAATCGTGGGTTCGGATGATATCAGGGGTTAAAACCCTAGATCTCCATGGAATCAATGAAGGTAAAATTGTGTGATACACGATAATCGTGATGATTATAAATTGCTTATTGATCTTATGTATCTATTCAAGATTATATTTTTACAATTAGAAAAACATCTATTCCAGCATATTGATTATTGTTGTAAATTTCAACCATAAATTCATAGATAAAACAAAGTGATCTAAACTGATAATACTAACCTGACATATGGATATGGAAATCTTGCAGGTAGAACTGGAATGAGGATTACAACTTTAACGAAGCAGTTTGATGTAAGCTTAATGAAAAAAAAATCGCAGAAACAATTGAACATTAAGAAGACGAATGAGGTGTTTCAAAATTTTGGATTTCACGTTTTCAGTTAAAGTTATATGCTTGAATATTGGAAAAAGATTACGATTATATGATTTTATTGTTGTTGGATCTTTATTAGATATAATTTTCTTCCTGATTTTTTGGAATTTAAAAGATTACAACTAAAAATTAGTTTAATATTCAAATTTCATCTAAAAAAGGAGTATAGAATATTAGGAAATAGTTGGTTGAATATAGGTTATTTACAGAAGATAAGTAAATATGCTGCAACCATTACAAAAATGTATGAATTAATTTTAGAGAATGAAAGATATAAATTTTGTTTACAATTGGTTATTGATTATTTATTAAAAATAACATATTTATCGTGACAAAAATAATAGTTATTATAAATAATAGACATAAATGTTCCATGTTTAAAATAATCAACATAAAGATGCGAAGGTGATTATGGTTAATATTCATTATTGGAGTCAAATGCAGTTCACGTGTAAAAGCAAAAATGTTCGCATTTGGTAATACAAGTCAAAATTGGGTTTCGCATATGAGGTTGTATGGATTGGGGTTAAAGATTCGAAGGTGATTATGGTTAATATTCATTTCGTATTTGGTGAGACAAACAACTCAAATGCGAATGAAGTAAAAAAAAAAAAATGACTGGAACATGCGAAGAAAGAGGGTGAATGAAGAATGTGAATTTTACAGTAGAATGCGAATTGGGGAAGAAAGCTAAGAATTTCGCATTTTTATTATACAAATTGATTGATTGATTGATTTGTCTTAATTGTTAATTGCGATATATGAAATACTTATCAATTTAGGGGCAATATCGTCATTTTGAAGTAAAATAAGCCTTGGTTATTAAATGAATCATACGAAGGATCTGTTATTTGATTTTGGAATTGGGGCGAATAATCTAACCATTTGGAGTTGCGAATTTGATTTTGAAAAGCCAATCAATTGGGTTCGCATATAAAACAGAAGTTTTGATTTTGGATTAGCAATTGGGTTAATTGGTTTGTTGATTGAGGGACGATTCGTGAAGAAAAATGCGAAGTCAAGAAGGACTGTGAAATGTGATTTGTTCAATATTGGAGTCAAATGCAGTTCACGTGCAAAAGCAAAAATGTTCGCATTTGGTAATACAAATCAAAATTGCGTTTCGCATATGAGGTTGTATGGATTGGGGTTAAAGATACGAAGGTGATTATGGTTAATATTCATTTCGTATTTGGTGAGACAAACAACTCAACTGCGAATGAACTAAAAAAAAATAAAAAATGACTGGAACATGCGAAGAAAGAGGGTGAATGAAGAATGTGAATTTTACAGTAGAATGCGAATTGGGGAAGAAAGCTAAGAATTTCGAATTTTTCTTATACAAATTGATTGATTGATTGATTTGTCTTAATTGTTAATTGCGATATATGAAATACTTATCAACTTAAGGGCAATATGGTCATTTTGAAGTAAAAGAAGCCTTGGTTATTAAATGAATCATACGAAGGATTTGTTATTTGATTTTGGAATTGGGGCGAATAATCGAACCATTTGGAGTTGCGAATTTGATTTTGAAAAGCCAATCAGTTGGGTTCGCATATAAAACAGAAGTTTTGATTTTGGATTAGCAATTGGGTTAATTGGTTTATTGATTGAGGGACGATTCGTGAAGAAAAATGCGAAGTCAAGAAGGACTGTGAAATGTGATTTGTTCAATATTGGAGTCAAATGCAGTTCACGTGTAAAAGCAAAAATGTTAGCATTTGGTAATACAAATCAAAATTGGGTTTCGCATAGGAGGTTGTATGGATTGGGGTTAAAGATACGAAGGTGATTATGGTTAATATTCATTTCGTATTTGATGCAATCATGTTCTGTGTCTTGTTTTGATGCAATCATTTTAATTCCACTTGATGACAGTTGTTGTCCATTTTCAGAGACCAATCTGTTCATTTACAACAAAGAAATGATTTAAATTTATTATAGTATGAAATAAATAAATCTGATAATACATAGGAAATTCTAAATGAAAATACTTGTTTTTGTAGATTGTAATTTCATCGATATCATTGTTTATGAAAACCCTACTAACATCAAAGTAGGTGGATGAAAAAGGACGACCTGCCAAAATAAATTTGATTATTCAATATATATATATATATATATATATATATATATATATATATATATATATATATATATTAGATTATGCTTGTTAAAAATAGTTACAAACCATTAATAAACTTCACCCTGGCAAATTGAACAATAACAACAACTGGAGCAAGGCTGTTATTGTTAGCAAGAAAATCATGCATGTAGTATGCATTATGACCCCACAAAGTTATCTTAAGCTTAGTATCCCTGAAATAATAAACAAATATTGTAAATAATATAAATGAAGCTATATTACTTGTTTGTAATAATGGTGAATACTCTATATCTTGAAGATGCAAGAGCATCTTGTGTTTTGATTTATCTTGTTCTGAGGTATCCATATGCCCATACTCAAAAATGTGTCCAATAATATCTACAAAAGCAAGGAAATATAATTTAATATAAAATATCAAATTGTAATACGAAGAAAGAATTTAGGTGTTATATAGCAAAAGTTAATATTAAATAAACCAACCAAAAGAGTTTGACTCCAGGATGTTGTTAGAAACGATAGTATTGAAGTCAACAAAATGAAAGCCATGTGCAGATCCAGAAAAGTTTTCACAATCTTTTACAATTGTATCGTGATAAAAATTTAGTTTTGATTCCGGATGAGCAAACTTAAATTTTGAAGTATTTGGTGCGACGTTAGGTTTCTTGACGTAAATTGAACTATCCTCTTTTAAATAGCGCTTGAATTTAGGAAACCATTTCTTCACACATGATGCATGAATTTTCCTTCCCTAAAATAAATGAAATAATAAATATTTAAATATAATTGCTTATGAGTATGAATAATATAATTGCTTATGAGTATGAATAATTTTTTATAAAAATAATAATTGAATACATCCATCTTATACCTCCTCATCCATCAAAATCATTTCTATCGAGTATATGTCGTTCGCATCAAATCTTGACTTTTGAGTCCAAAGACGTATGATCCGAACTTTAATTGTGAAATCGTCCTTGATTGAGTCAATTTCCTTTATAGGAGTAATATGTTCCATTGTACCTTGCAAGTTAAAAAAAAAATTTACATTAAATTAGACAATTATAATCAGCACACAGAAAAAAACAATCAAACAGTCAAGAAGAAAGTACATTGGTAGGCTGTTACGATTAAATTAGACAATTATAATATGCGTTTTTCCAGGTGAGTATTCATATAAAATATTTATTTCCTTAATTAAAACAACAAAAGATATATTTTTATTTATTTTTCCAATTTGCATAACTTTTTTTATTGATTTAATAAAGTTGCATACCAAATTGTTAGGCTGTTACGATTTCACCACCTAAAATATGTATATTTGTATTATAATATATTATCTTGTTAGTATTTCATGAATGCAATCAATAACACTTGTGTGCTTTGAATGCGAAGTTGGATTTAGCTTTGCTATAAGTTTCAATCGATTTTGAAATTGAGTATTGTTCGCATTTGTATGAGTGTAGTCGATGAATCGATAAAGCAAGAACATATGAGTTTTGATTCGCAATTGGATTGATGATTGAGGGATGATTCGTGAAGAAAAACGCGAAGTCAAGGACTGTGAAATTGTTGTTTGCAAGAATTTAAAAACTCGATTGTGGAGTTGTTGATGCTCATTTTGCGAAAGTAAAACAATCGAGTGTTTGCATCTGTGAATCAATTTGAAGTCAATTGGGTTAATATTCGCATATGGGTTCAACATATGAATTTTTGATTTCGCAAGTTTAGAGTTCAAGAACTAAACTGTGTTCGCATCTGGAATGAAAATTTTGTGGTTCGCATTTGATTAATTAGGTTAAAATGCGAAGGTGATTAATGCGAAGGGATGCGAAGGGTGTAAGAATGAAGATGCGAAGTATTTCACAGTAGAATGCGAATTGGGGAAGAAAACAGAAATTTTCAAATATTGTCCCTGGAGTTTCGCATTTTTGGAAATAAATACTCAACTTCGCAAATGGGGGTCATAAAATGATGAAATTGCAGAATTTTTAAAGAGATACACACACATATATTTAGAAAATTAAACTAAAAGATGATAAATTACAGATTATAGCATTGTTCTTTGAGAATAAATTACTAAAAATGGGATATAGTGTAACAGGAACTTCAAAAAGAAATTGATACTTTTTTGTTTATTATATAAACAGTTGGATAAATCAGACGAAATAATCAATTCTTTTGTTTATCATTTAAGTGTAGATGTTACCAAGAAAACAATGAGAAAATTACATATTTACTGATATACCCTTAAGGGTATATAATGAGAAAAAAACTAAAAATCGAAAACTAAACAGAAAAAACCTGTATATTTAACAAAAAAATTAGGATATAAACAGGAAAATCGTAAAGCACTGATTGATTTATATATTTAATTGTATCACTTGCAAACATACTTTTCAAAAACAGATATAAACATATACGTACATATAGACAATAAAACATATATTTAGAAAAATAAACTAAAAGATGATCAATTCCAAAATATAGTATTGTACTTTGAGAGTAGATTCCTAAACATAGATATAGTGTAACAGGAAGTTTAAAATGAAATTTGTAATTTTTTTGTTTATTATTTAAACGGGTTTGATAAATCACATGAATTGATAATTTGAGTTACTTTTTCAACAGGTTTGTAGTTTATATGAATATGATGTTAAAAGAAACCACCAACTGATAAAAGTATTTTCAAGTTTTCAGAAAACGTGTCATGTAAGAAAAATCATTATGGAAGAATTATTGGTCTAACCATCCAAATACCCTAATTACGATTAAGTATTTAGATGGACCAAATCATTGGAGGAAGCAAATAGGTGTAGAAGAAATTGAATGGTCCTATGACTCTAATGTATCACATACAGTTATATAAGATACACATATTAAGAAAACCAAAAATCGACATACACAGATCGTGACTATATGTACCAGAATATACATAAAGAAATACCAATGTATCAAACTCTTATACATAACAGGTAAAAAAATAGAGGGAAAAGTGATGAAATCGATTAAGAATGTAGATGAAATAGAACATCTAAAAGGTAAAGAGCAATGTAGTTTTGCTGACCTGATGATGAATACGTGACCCTTAAAATCGTATTGACTTCTGAAATTGTATTGAAATATATCATCTCTTCCTAAACTGATTTCCTGATTTTTTGGGATTGATATAAAATGGAATTTAAATTGATTACCTGATTTATTGGGATTGATTTGATCTTCAATATTCCACCGAATTAAATTTGAAATTTCCTGATTTATATATTTACTGATTGACGATTTATGTTTCCTGATGTGTACAGTTTTATTTTTGAGAATAGAAGGGCGAAGTGGGAACTTCACTTATAATTTTTGAGCGGGAAAATGCAAGGGTGAGTGGCTAAGGGAATGCCAGGTGGCGTTTCTAGTACTGTTTTATTAGTAGAGAAGATATATATATATATATATATATATATATATATATATATATATATATATATATATATATATATATATATATAATATTTTGTTATTTCTGATTTTCTGTAACCAGCCCTCCGACTTTGCGATGGAAACAAAAATTTACCAAGAACCTTAGAGGGATCCATAACCTCATGGAAGCTTCAAAGGAATCAAGGAGAAGAAAGCAGCAGCAGCGGTGGCCTGAGATTGTTCGGGAAATCTGCTCCAAGCCCGGTATGAAGATGAGTTCAATTCCAATACCCCCTCGTTTGTGTAAATGACTGAATTTTCCAAAACCCTAGAATTTTACAACCAAGGCCATCATCTCCTTGTTGATCTGCTCACTGTTTCGACCTGCCATCTCTCTCGCTCTGCTCTTTGATCTTCCCTCTCGCTCTCCTCCTCATAGCATCAGGTAAACAACATCTCCTTTCTGTAGCTCCTCCTTTCGTAAACTGTCTGTTCGGACACTCTAGATTGTCTTTTTGGAGCCATGGAATTATCCGGGGTTAATCTGGGTAATTATTTGTTTGATGATGGTGAGTTATGCGTCCTTTAAGTCTTGCCCACATTCGTCATTTTCACTCACAAAGCACACCACTACTCAATTACAATTATTACAGTGCTCAGGAAAAGAAGACAAGTATAGACAAAAACACACATTCTGTATCTATTTTGTTTCTGCAAGATACACCATAGCAGATTAAGATTATGCTCTTCAACTCACCATCACTAATTTGTCTGTGCTTTGTATCTGCAACACATTCCTTTAAGCCCTGATTTTGTTTTATGTGTTTTGTGTCTGTATAATCATGAACTATACTGTATATTTAGGTTATTACTTAGTTGATACCAATCACTTTTTAAAAACAAACTTTGTTAATGGGTTTTCTTTAGGAGATCAAGAAGATGTCTGTTTGAATTTAACTCTTGAATTGGATGTAAGATTAGTAAGAATCTTGGATGACCAAATCCAATTCCTTCAGGACTACAAAACCATTCTTTTATACATTTTGCACTATAAGTTTCTATTCCATTCTACCTTTTGATTACATTCTCATGGGAACATATTTTAGCTTATGACACATACGTGAAGCCATGAGTCGCCATATAACTGATGTTATGGATGAAGAAACAGACAAAGATGCCCAAATTATCACATCTCCCACAAACATTGAAATGGAAAAAGATCTTGAAGTCCCCGAAGGAATCGTATTCGAATCCCACGAGTCCGCATATTCCTTCTACCAAGAATACGCAAAATCCATGGGATTCACCACATCAATAAAAAACTCGCGAAGGTCAAAAAAGTCAAAAGAATTCATCGATGCTAAATTCGCATGTTCAAGATACGGAGTCACACCAGAATCCGATTCGGGTACAAGTAGGCGTCCAAGTGTGAAAAAAACCGACTGCAAAGCAAGCATGCATGTGAAAAGAAGAAAAGACTCAAAATGGTACATTCATGAATTCATTAAAGAACATAACCATGAACTTTTACCTGCTTTAGCTTACCATTTCCGCATCCACAAAAACGTAAAATTAGCCGAAAAAAACAACATCGATATTCTACACGCAGTTTCCGAACGAACAAAAAAGATGTACGTTCAAATGTCGCGACAATCGGGCGCGTATCGTAACGTTGACTTTTCAAGAAACGAGTTAAATTACCAATTTGACCGTGGTAGGTATCTAGCACTTGAAGAAGGTGATGGTCAAGCTATGCTCGAGTATTTCACGCATATCAAAAAAGAAAATCCGAATTTTTTCTACGCGGTTGACTTAAACGAAGACCAACGTTTAAGAAACTTGTTATGGGTCGATGCCAAAAGTAGAAAAGATTACATAAATTTCACCGATGTTGTTTCTTTCGATATCAGTTACGTTAGAAGCAACGACAAAATGCCAATTGCTCTGTTTATCGGTGTGAATCATCATTTTCAAGCTATGCTGCTTGGATGCGCGATTGTCGCAGACGAATCCAAAACAACTTGTGTTTGGTTGATGAAAACATGGCTACGCGCAATGGGAGGGAAATATCCGAAAGTTGTGATCACTGATCAAGGAAAGGCGGTGGAGGCGGCCGCCATGGAAGTTTTCCCGGCGAGCCGCCATTTGTTCTCTCTTTGGAGTATCTTAGAGAAGGTTCCGGAAGCTTTCGCGCATATTATCAGACGACATGATAAATTCATGACTAAGTTCTACAAGTGTATTTATAAGTCGTTAACAGACGAACAGTTCGATATGAGATGGTGGAAACTCGTGGGGAGATTCGAGCTTCAGGAGAACGAATGGTTTCATTCGTTATACGAAGATCGAAAAAAGTGGGTCCCGTCGTTTATGCGGGAAGTTTTTTTAGCGGGAATGTCTACGCCTCAACGTGGCGAAAGTGTGAATTCTTTTTTCGATAAATATATTCACAAAAAAGTTACGTTAAAAGAATTTGTGAAACAATACGCGACCATTTTACAAAACCGATATGACGAAGAGGCGTTAGCGGATTTCGACACGTGGCATAAACAACCCGCGTTGAAATCACCTTCACCATGGGAAAAACAAATGTCTAGTGTTTACACTCATACAATTTTTAAAAAATTTCAAGTTGAGGTTTTGGGGGTTGTTGGGTGTCATCCTAAAAAAGAACGTGAAGACGGATGCGTTACGATATATACGGTTGATGATTGTGAAAAAAACGAAAGTTTTAATGTTACATGGGACGAATCAAAATCCGAGGTTTGGTGTTCTTGTTTGTTGTTTGAGTACAAAGGTTTTCTTTGTAGACACGCGATGATTGTTCTTCAAATTTGTGGGCGTTCGAGCATTCCCTCTTGTTATATTTTAAAAAGATGGACGAAAGATGCAAAGAATGATGATCAGAATAAAAATGGGGTGATGGAAAAAACACAAAATCGGGTGCAATTATATAATGATTTATGTAAACACGCGATTCAATTGGGTGAAGAGGGATCTTTATGTGAAGAAAGTTATGATATTGCGTTTCGTGCGCTTGTGGATGCTTTAAAAGCATGTGTGGATGTGAACAATAAAGAATCTAGTAATGGCACTGTTTTGATACGAGATGTTGAGGATGAAAATTTGGGAGGTGTTTCTGGAAACAAGAGTAAAAGAAAGAGCGTAAACAAGAAACGAAAGGTTTTTTTTTTTTTTTTTATTGTTTTTTTATAAATAATTTATACATATATTTAGTATAATTTGTTGTATTTTGTGTGACTTTTGTAGATACAATCAGAACCTGAACCTGTAATGCTTGAGGCACGAGATAGCTTGCAGCAAATGGTTAGTTTTCTTGAAATTCTATTGATAAATTGGATCTAATTTTATAAAAAAAAAAAAAAAAAGTAAGGTTTGTGTTTGGACTTTGGATTAACAAAATTTTATCTGGATTTGTTGGTGATAGGAAAGTATGAGCTCAGATGGAATAACTCTTCATGGGTATTATGGGGCCCAACAGAATGTACAGGGACTGGTAATGACGTTTTGTCAAATAATTACTTTTTTTTTAATTAAAAAAATTCTTAATCGGGTCAAATGTAGCTGCAGTTGAACTTGATGGAACCACCTCATGATGGTTATTATGTTAATCAACAAAGCATGCAGGGACTGGTATGTAAATTCAACCTTTATTTTTGTAGATTTTTATTCAAGTTGATTTTTTTTTAATTATTATTATTATTTTTTGGTATAGGGTCAATTAAATTCATTGGCCCCAACGCATGATGGTTTCTTTGAGGCTCAACAAAGCATCCATGGTCTGGTATGTTAGCGACATACTTTCATTTCTTTCTATTACAACATTGCTATAATAGGAAAAAAATGAAAGTAGGATGCTATGATAAACAAACCAATTGAATTGCATTGCTATTTCTTGTGTTTAACCCTTTTTAGATTAATTTTTTTTTTCATTTGTATGTATGTAGGGGCATTTGGATTTTAGACCACCAAGTTTTGGATACAGTATGCAGGTTAGCATTTGCATTTGTTACACATGACTGAAAACTGGATTGGTCTGGACTGGACTAAACAGAACAAATTTTCTAGGGCTATTTTTCATGATAAATACGAGGAGCGCATTCATGTCTTTGCACATACGAGAGACACTGAGAGAGTTCGTGTTCACCTACCATTTTAGATGGGACAAAAAAATTGCAATTTTTGTCCTATTGATATCAGTCTCGGTTACAGTCCAATGCAGACATACATTGGACTAAAATCAATACAACCTGTTCTGTTCTATGAGCAATGGAATATGCATATAACTTTGATTTTTGTTTTGGTGGGCCCAGGATGAACCTAGTCTGCGAACTAATCAGATGAACAACAACCCGTCTAGACATTCATGAGACACACACACACTCGTCATCTTTACCACATTCTTTCATGTTACATATGTAAGAATCAAACCAATTAGCTAGCAATATTCCTAGTATTTTTAATCTAACATATATATATATATATATATATATATATATATATATATATATATATATATATATATATATATATATATATATATCAAATTTGATTTATTTGTTGTAATGTGATTGGTAGTTTTTATTTGCGTTTTGGGCTTGTGGTACCGTATATACGAATCAAAGAATGTAATGATATTTATAAATTGATAACAAAATTTGTTTTTGGAAGGTAAGATTGTCCACATGGTTTTTATAACTCGATCCAATCATATCCAAAATCTTAATAAGGATATGATTTCTTTTAAGTAATATTTTAGGTCAAGATATCGTCCAATTAATCCAAAATCCATATTATGGTAACATGAATAACAACCAAATTTACTTTGAATTGAAGTTCGATTAATTAGGATCGAGGCAAAGTTACACATTTAGTCCTAACTTTATGAATAACTACCAAATTAGCTTGAAGAAATTAAATATCCTCCTATTTTTCTTTCTAATTATCTTTCTATCTGTTTAAAATAATAATCAGGGTCCTCAAATGTAATGAATTTCATCAACAATACAACATTTCTCATAATTTCATATGGATAAGAAGTTAAGTAGGAGCAAAAATAGAACGATATTTAATTTGTGATTAAGTTGATTCAGATGAATGATTACATTGGTGGACCTAGGGCTTTAAATTTTGGGCACAGTGTAAATTTTCTTATAAACTTTTAGGTCGAATGTAAAATTTCGATGCGTTACCCTTAAACTTAAAAAGATATGTTGAGATTTAGCCACTTGACTAACTAACTGTTGACATGACTTTTTGTTTTTTATACTTTCCTAATGATAGAATGCTTTTTATTCAAATTGTTTTGTGTTTTGTCTTATTAAATTATTGAAGCACTTGACCGTTGATTTGCTTTTAAAGGATTTTGGTTATTTTCTTTTCAAATTTCCGTTTATATTTTAATAGATTAGGGACGAAATCTGGAAAAGATAAAAAGAAGAGGGGGCTAAAGTGAAAGTTTGATATCCAACGAGAAAAGAGAAGAAGAAAGGGAGCAGCGAGGAAGCCGGTCTAACACACACACAAACACACACGCACACGCGCACGCACACACACACAGAGAAGTCCGAAACCTTGAAATACATCACGGGCTCTTACAGAAGAACCAAAACAGCCTGAATCATCGTCGGTTTTCCCTCCGATCAAACCAGGAGATCGAGAGAGACGGCAGAATTCCGTCTCCGATCACCGCTCTCTCATCTCCAATTCGACCGGAAGGACACATACTACTCAGATCATAACTTCTGCGTGTTTAATTAATTTTGTGAACTGTACATGTTCGTATGGTTCACGGATAAGTTTTTTGGATGCGAAGATCGAATGCTCGTGTGGCGCCAGCACCAGAAGCAGTCGATCATCCGGATATCAACAATAAAGTGAAGAAGGAAATGGATAACTCCATAAAGCTTAAGTTTCGCCCTAATCAACCTCTGCGATCCACTAATCTCTTCTCCAGAAACCAAAAACAATCTCATCTTGCGAAATCGAGTATTTTTGCGATCGGATTCCTCACTTTGGTTTTTGTGTCGTGTGGTTATTTCTATCTTAATTCGCAGAATCCGTCGGAGAAACGCTACCGAGTTGTGATTGATGGAGGGAGCACAGGGAGTCGGATTCATGTGTTTGAGTATGTGATTAAGGATGGAGCTCCTATTTTCGATTTGAGTGCTAAGAAGGGGTTATGTTCAATGCGGGTTAGCCCTGGGTTATCGGCGTTTGCGGAGGATCCCAAGGGAGCGGGTGAATCTATGTTGAAACTTTTGGAGTTCGCAAAGAAGAGGATTCCGGGAGAGAACTGGGGTGAAACAGAGATCAGATTGATGGCAACGGCAGGGTTAAGGATGTTGGAATTGAGCGTACAGGAGCGGATTCTAGAGTCTTGCAGGACGGTTTTCAGTACTTCTGGGTTTGCCTTTCGCGATGATTGGGCTTCAGTTATTTCAGGTATGAGGAAACTTTATGTTCAATTCATGATTGCTGTTTTAAGTTTGTGCATTTGTAGTTCAACTTATACTTTGAGCTGCTATCAAGGATTTGCGACTGAAAAAGTGAGGCATTGTTTATTTTGTAAGGACTAGACACACTTGGTGTTGATTGTCTTTCAGTTTATGCTGTCAATATTACTGTGGGCATACCTTTGCTGATTCTTCTGTTCTTGGAGGTGAATGATTGATGATTATAGGACAAAACAATTGACCATATGTTACTTATTTGAGATACAATTTGATGCACTTGTATTGATTTTATCGATTTAACATTCCTTCCAAGAAGAATACCTGTAAAATCTGGCTGTCCTTTGATTTGGGCTGATTAGTGAGTATAGCTGCAAACATTGGTAGTTTAATGTGAACATATAATATCATAAAAAAGTGAATGGAATTGTTTAAGAATCCATTTCAACAAATATTTGCAGGCTTAGAAAATCTTTCCTTTTTGGTATGTTTTGTGGGATACATAAACATAAAGAAAGTTAATAGTACGATAAAACTTCAGAAAGTCAATTTTATTCAAATATCATTGTTTCAGGGTCTGATGAAGGAGTTTATGCATGGGTTGTGGCTAATTATGCTCTTGGAACTCTTGGAGGTGATCCTCAAGAAACAACAGGGATAATCGAACTTGGTGGTGCTTCTGCTCAGGTTTACATTATTCTTCTTTTTCTCTACATTTCTAATAATACAAAAAAACTTTATTATCGATTCTTGTTTCTCAAAAGAAACATAATCATACAATTGTCTTTCAGGTAACCTTTTTCTCAAAGGAGCCAATACCCCCTGAATTTTCAAGAACAATTAATTTTGGAAATGTCAGTTATAGTCTTTACAGCCACAGCTTGCTTGAATTTGGTCAGGTAAACATCATTTACACCATTCTTTATTCAATTAAATATTCATATTTTCATTCTTTTTAGTCCACCATATAAAATTTTACACCATTACATATGCCTTTCTTTTTTCAGAATGTTGCATTTGACTTGGTTCGTGGGTCAAACTTTGCCAAAAGTAAAAATCTGGGTAGGTACTACATATTTCGTTACTTGTTAATCTCCTAGTTTTGATGAGGAGGGCATTTACGTCTTTTATATTGGTGCAGTGGATCCATGCTCCCCAAAAGGATACAAAAACAATGTGATAATAGGAAATAATATGACTCCAACTTCTTTACTCCAAACAAATCACCAATCACCAGTTCTACATTCAACTGGCAACTTCACTGAATGCAGATCTGCCTCCTATAAATTGTTGCAGAAAGGCAAAGGTACAATTTTTTATTCAACATTTCCTTTATTTATTTATTTTTTTATTAACATTTTATTTCAAAAAACAGTAGACTGCGCCTTTGACCAATGCTCCATCGGGTCAACATATATACCCAAGCTCCAGGGGAAATTTTTAGCCACTGAGAATTTCTTCCATACATCTAAGGTCTGTTTCACTTTCTTTATCAAGTAAATAATAATAATAATAATTTTTTTTTTTTTTATATAAATGTATTTTTTTTGGGTAGTTTTTTGGGTTGTCACCTAAAAAGTTTCTTTCTGAGCTGATGGTGGCTGGAAAAGAGTTCTGTGAAGATGATTGGTCAAATTTAAAGAGAAAATATCCAGGAATTAATGATGAGGATTTACATCGATATTGCTTTTCTTCTGCATATATTGTTGCTTTTCTTCATGATAGCCTTGGAATTGCTTTGGATGACAAAAGGTGCACACTTTTATTTGAATTAGTTAACATATTAATAAATCCAAACATTTTTTATTGAATATATAAAATAAAATGGTTGTATACTACTTTGAAACAGGATTGGATATGGTAGTGAGGTAAATGATATTCCACTTGATTGGGCATTGGGAGCCTTCATCTTTCAAATCATGAAGGATGTAGACCTCAGGAAATTACACCCAACAACAAAGTCAAAATCTACAACACTCGGTGGTGTTGACTTTACGACATTAGGTGGATTAATATTTGTGATATTTTTAATATTTGGTGCGTATTTTGTATCGAAATGGAGGAAGCCCCACTTAAAGACAATATACGATCTAGAAAAAGGAAAGTATATAGTGACACGAGTAATAGGTAGACACTCATAGTTGTTGTTGTTCCTTTTTCTTCTTCCTTTTTGGCTCCTTGATTTTTCATTAGTGGCCTCAATGTGATATATAATATGATGATAAATTGACAATGTGATATGAAATGGTATCGAGGAGAGGAGACGCGCGTGTTTTGCATATGGGATGATGGTAGGAGTGATTTTTCGGGGGTGGGAAACCGATGTAATTTAGCATTTTCTTGTTGTCGATTATTCTTTTTTGCTAGATTTGTAAAAGAGGGTGCTTAATTTTGTGTTCTATTGGCATCGATTGATATATTCAATATCATATTGGTGTTGCGTTATTGTAAATGTTTGTGGAATGACCACATCTTTCAAACTTTGATCATATTAGGTCATTTAATGTTTTGACAATCGTTTCGGCAAAGAGCTAATTAATAGTATGAACACCAATAATCCATAAGACCATCTGTTATACCTAGGGGTGAGCAAAAACCGCACCGCAATTAAATTTAACCGCAAAAACCGCAACCGATAAACCACAACCGCAATTAAAACCGATGATGAGGTTTTCTGTTTTTCAAAAACCGCAAATTTGAGGTGCGGTGCGGTTCGGTTATTAGTTTTCAAAAACCGCACCGCACCGCATATGTTATATATAATTTTTTTAATTATTTATTAATATATTAAATACTAAAAATAACATAAGTTTCATGGATGAAAGATGGATAAAATACTAGAAGACCAAAATATTGGTGTTTTGTTATGTTTAACTTTGAAAAATAGTGAAATTCGACAATTTTAAGATATTTTTTGTAAATTACTATTGATTTGACGTTTTTAAGATATTAGTTGTTTGTAATTTAAGTTAATTGTCTTATACTTTATGGTTTTTTTATTATTACAAGTAATATGTTTGGACTTTTAAAACCGTTTGAGCTCTAAATTGTGGTTAAAAACCACACAAAATAATCGCACCAAATCCATGCGGTTAATAACCGCAACACAGAAAAAACAAAACCGCACCGCAAAAATAA